TGGTACCTTTTTAGTGTAGTTTTTCCTTGTATTTTTTGGGTGGTACCTTGTAGGGTTACCTTGTAGGGGTAAGTGGTTCCCCTTTTTTGTATTTGGGAACCTTTTGTAGTGTTATTTTCCTTTTTAGGGGTTAGTGGTCCCTTGTATTGTAGGGGGTACCTTGAAAGTTTGGGGGAATTTTTGTATTTGTAGGGGTACCGGGAGTGTAGTGGTACCTTGTAGTTTTTTAGTGGACCTTGTTTTGGTAGGGGTTTTAATTTTGTAGTGGAAACCTTTTGTATTGTGTGGTATCAGGTAGTTGTCCCTTGTATTTTTTGGGGGTACCTTGAAATTGTATGGGTCCCTTTGGGTTTTTGAAAGTGGAAACCTTTAATGGGGGTTACCTTGTTTTGGTACCTTGTATTGTAGGGGTCCCTTTGTGGGGTACCTTGTATTGAAAGGGGTCCCTTTATTGTAGGGGAACCTTGTTTGTAGGGTAACTTGATTGCGGTGGTACCTTGAGTGGGGGTACCTTGTATTGTAGTGGTACCTTTATTGATTGGTCCCTTGAAATGTAGTGGTCCCTTCCCATTGAAAAGGGGCCCCTTGTTTTGGGAGGGGTTTTCCTTGTAGTTAGGGGGACCTTTAAAAATAGGGGTACCTCATAGTGAGTGGCCCCCTTTTATGTAGGGGGGTTACTTTGAAAGGGTAGGGGACCCTGTAGTAAAGGGGTTTCCCCTGGGGGCTTTCCCGGGGGATATGTAATGTATTTGGGTACTTTGTAGTGAAATTTTGGAAACCTTGTAATGTACCTTGTAGTGTATTTGTCCCTTTTGGAAAGGTGGGTGGTACCTTGTTTTTGTGGGGTACCTTGTAATGTAGGGGTACCTTGAAAATTTTTAGTGGACTTTGAAATATATGGTTACCTTATAATGTAGGGGGAACTTTGTAGTGTAGTGGGTCCTTGTAATGTAGTGCCCTTTGTTAATGAGGGGTTCCCTTTGAAATTTTTTAGGGGTTTTAACTTTTTAATTTTAGGGGTTTACCTTGTAATTTAGGGGGTACCTTGGTAATGTAGGGGGAAATTTGTGATTTAGGGGTTTCCCTTGAAATTTTAATGGCCCCTTTTTAAGTATTTACCCGGGGTTGGATTGGTCCCTTTGTAATGTAGCGGTCCCTTGTAATGTAGTGATTTTTTGGGAGAAAAGTGGTACCTTTTTTAGTTAATATACCTTGTAAATTTTAAGGGGCCACCTTGTAGTTTTTGGGGGGTTCCCTTTTTATTTGGGGGACCCCTTTTTTATTTGCAGGGACAAATATTTTCAGCAAAATGTTTGTATTTCCCCCCTTCAAGGCACCCAAAACGCCTTAGGAAATTAATCAGTTCGGGTTTAACACTGAAGAAACTTTTGAAAGGGAACCTTTTGACGGGGTGCCCCGACTCTGTTCCCCCAACCGGGTTCGGGCCCACTGACACAAGAAATTGTTTATTTAACACTCTGGAGGAGAGCGTTTTTTTCGGGGTGACAGGCAATCATTACAGTTGGGCGTACACCTTTAATATGTGGAAAACATTTTGAGTACGGATTTAGAAAACAGTTTAGTATAAGGCGGGAAGGGCCCAACTTTTGTTTGCCTGCTAAAGTTTATGTAAAAAAAACCACCCACTCTGTCGACTTAAACTGCCCCAGTGGATGGTGAACAGAGGGAAAAAAAAAAAAATTTTTGGGGTTACTTTTTTCCCTTTATTTAAATTTAACCAAAATTTACTAAGCCAAAAAGATTTTTTAATCCAAAATAAAATTTTAAGGCCTCCCGGGAAAGTTTTTAAGGGAGATGTAGTAATTTTGGTGAGTGGGTCGTTTCAAGTTTTTTTGGTCCCGCCTCTCCCCTTTTAAACGGTCTCCGGGGTAAAGGTCATACCAATTTCTTAAAACTTTTGAAATTTGTTTCCCAGCCCCGTTTTTTCTATCCCTTTCCCTTTTTTAAAGAAACCAATTTTTTTTTTTAAGCCTAATACAATTTGTGACTTTTTTCCCAAAAGAATCCTTACCCACTGGAAAGTACTTGAGTGACCCCTGGCTGGGAAACGTTGATTATTATTAGATCTTTTGTAGTTTTTACTATTTATTTAGTAGAAACATAGTAGTAGCATTTAGAAACCCAAAGGAACCATAGAGCGTCGGGGCCAAGGGGTTGGGCAACAAGTTTGACCCAAGGAACCCCGGGAAGGAAACCCCAAACCCTTTTGAATCAAGACCCTTTCGCCGGCATAAAGGCAACCTCCCTTGAAGGCCATACTTAAGTATTAAATTGTCATAAAGGGTCGGCTCAGGAAAGCTATCTAGACGAACATACTAAAAAATAGTCTAAAATTAAAAAACCAAACTAATAAATCCCTTTTTTTCCCAAATGACGAACAAAAGAATCACCAGTGTGTGTGTTTTGTTTTCATTAGTGGGTTTTATCACAGGGGCCCTTTTACAGGAGGGGGCTAATTTGTGGTGACTTTGTGGTTGCTTTTTAAAATTTGTTATCTGCTGTTTCAAATAATGATCCCTAAATTTGGCTTTTGCTTGTAAATTAAAATGGAACTCTGATAGCATTCAGGGGATTTTCCAGGGGTTTTTGGGTCTTCATTGTTTGTAACCATAGTTTTTCCAAAGGGATATTTTGAGCTGATTTAATTTTGAAAAAATTCGGGTTGTCCTTTTTTTATCTTCTTCTTTTTTTTTCTCTTTTTCTTCCTCTTTTTAAATTTTTAAAATTATTATTATTAATTTATTTTTAAATTATTATTATTTTTTATTATTATTATTATCAGCTAGGCCAAAAAACCCCTTGAAACATGTACTTGCGAAAAAAAGATATTATTTTTTAAGAGTGATTATATATTACCTTTTCCTGTAGGTGAGGGACTGATTCCCTAAACCTCAGCCCACCCCCTTTTCTCTTGTCCTTACCCTGTTGAACAGGGGTGTAACAGTTTTTCTTTATTTTTCAAAAACGTTTGGGTAAAAGGTAGAACTTTTTTAGGAAACATAGGAGGCCAGCAAAACCCAATGAAAAACGTATTTTAAAGGGGGCCAACGGGTTTTGGTAAGGTAAACTAATCCCCAGGAAACCTATTTTAAACGGTTGGGTGAATTTTTTGACAAAAAGGTGTAAGGTGACTAACACCCAAGTTCCTACTTACTGTATGGAAATAAGTCACTCTGTCTGACTTTTTTGGGTTATCCCAGGTTCTCTACACATATGCTGCTATGTATGATAATTCTATGTAACTGTATTTGTGTATACCTGAATAAACTTACTTACTTACTTACTTACTAAAAGCGACAATACGTGTAAACTTACCGACTTACTTCAATTTGTGTAACTGTACTTATTGTAATAAAGTTGGTAGAATTACCGACAATATGTAAAGTAAAAGGACACAAGTGCAACTAATGTGACTTTTATTGTGGCAACGTTTCGCTCTCCAGGAGCTTTATCAAGCCATTATGGCTTGATAAAGCTCCTGGAGATAGATAGATTTAGATTTTGCCACCGAAGTGGCTAGTTTATTGTGCCGCCCATATCCATCCTGTGGACGGTAGCGCGAGAGCATATGGATACACAAAAGGCCTAGGAACTAGGCCCCAAAGGGTTAACAGGAATACATATGGATTTATATCTACATATCTATAGTTCACTTATCTGTTACAAGCAAATTTAGGAAATTTGCTTAGTATATCTGGTATCTTATTTTCATTAATAAGATATCTTGACATGTCACATAGGTTATTATACTGTCTGTCTCTGTATTCCTCAATAAGTGGACAATTAAGCACATAGTGTTCAAGAGAGTGACCATATGCCTGATCACATAATTTACATTTAGTTTGTTCATCATCTGTGTGTCTCCCAAACTGCCAGAAGTACTTGTAACCAAGCCTAAGCCTGGCCACTACAACATCAGTCAGTCTGTTCACATTGCAAGTTGAAGAGCGAAACGTTGCCACAATAAAATGTCACATTAGTTGCACTTGTGTCCTTTTACTTTACAAACTGTACTTATGTGTACCTGTGCCTAAATAAACTTAATTTCACTGGGGAGATATAAAATAAGTGTGAGTGTGAGTTAGGTGTACTAGCATGGGCCGTATGTGAGTTAGGTGTACCTAGCATGGGCCAGTATAGTGTGAGTTAGGTGTACCTAGCATGGGCCAGTATAGTGTGAGTTAGGTGTACCTAGCATGGGCCAGTATAGTGTGAGTTAGGTGTACCTAGCATGGGCCAGTATAGTGTACTCACCTAACTGTAGTTGCAGGGGTCGAGACTCAGCTCCTGTGAGTGTGAGTTAGGTGTACCTAGCATGGGCCAGTAAGCCAATTCATTGATAAAAACAATAAGGGTGTATAAAATTTTTCATGATGGAGTTTTCCCCGTTTTTTCTTATAAATACATTATACGTGATAATAGAATATATATCAAATTTTTTATTGAACAATATGTAAAGGTCTAATGGGAAATATATCTCGTTATTTTGAATTTACTGGGTCATTCCTAGGTTTAAATTTTACACAATTACCAGATAAAACATATTGCAAAGTTTTTAAAATTTTATGGTAGGAATGCCCATAAATAAAAAAAAAAGCCTACAAGTAACATAACCGTTGTAACGGATTATTTAAAAATATATGTAAAACTTTAATTGTTTATGAGTAACGTTTTTAAAAAATATATATACCATAAATGAAAGGAGATAAAGTGAAAAAACAGTTTATTAGAAATAACTGATTTTTAATTAAACTAGCTTAAATAACACTAATTTCCAACATTAATGAAAAACGCCGATGATAATAGTTCCTTTACAATATATTTATTGACTAATATTAAAATAAATTAGAACATTATATCATTTAACATCTGTAATAATAGGAGTTATACAATTTTCCTGAATATTAATGTGTGATATAGCTAAAATAATTTATGAAAAAATGTTTCAAAGAATCTTTTGATATATTAAAAGGACGAGAAAAAGTTGAAGAACGAGGCAGCAGCTGATCCAGAGTTGACAAACATTGGACACCCGCCACAACTACGCCTCATTTAAACTAAACTTGCCACTATAACAAGAAGATTAAACTTGAAACTAGACCATCAGTGCTTCAAGATGGCCAGATTTGACTCCTTTGAGCAGCTGATAGTGCGGAGAGAGACAGGATACGTGTGTGATGAGGAAGCTATGATTAACTTCTCCAAGGTTGTATCCTTCGATGATGCTGTGTTTAAACACATTACTAAATGTGAGACCAGCATGTTGCTGCTCTCCAGCCATAACTCTGTGCAGCAGTTCACTTTTGATGTTGTGGTCGGGGATGGTAAGGAAAGTGGCCGAGGTCGAGGTAGGCCTAGTGGTGGTCTGAGTGACACTAGGCCTACCAGTAATGTAACAATGGCTCAGGCCTGGCTCAGGTGTGAGGATAAAGGCTTCCATGGCATGCAGGCATTGTCGTTAATTAATGCCTCCTGTATGCCTAATAATGGTTGTAGAGAGAGGTACTCTGTGGCACAGTATGTCAACTCTCTCATCCACAGTATTGAAGCTTACTTTATGTTCCAGAAGCCAAGTTGTTTGTTCTGTGTTAATGCTGTAGATCTCTGGCAGACTTTTGAAGAACTGGAGCTAGATACTTGTTATATTGTTATGGTGTGGAAGTTCAAGAATGATCCTAACAAAGGTATTGTTTAAAACAATGTTTGTTTCAATTCAGTCTCGGTTGAGTTTACCAAAAATAAATAAAAAGACTAATATACTCTGCATTTTGCTTTAGTAGTGTATGCATTATTTTTATCATTTTGTACAGTAATTTTTTTTTTTTTCAAAAAAAACACCTGAAGTGCACCATTTTTAATGCAAACAACTACAGTGGAACCTCAAATATCGAACTTGCTTTGGTCCAGAAGGCTGTTCAAGTGCCTTTACCGAATGAATTTATTCCCATCAGGAATAACGTAAATTAGATTAGTCCATTTCAGACCCTCAAAAATGCACTTATAAAAGCACTTACAAAAATACACTTACATAATTGGTCGTGTTGGGAGCAGTTCGATTTTTGAGGTTCCACTGTATTCTTATTATTGATGATAGTCTATACAGCACTGACAAGTTGAAGAATAAGACACACTTGCAATACTTGGGTATCTTTATTACCTAAATGTTTTGCTTGAACAAGCTTCTCCAGTTGAATACTGGCAATTATAACACTGGAGACAGTAAAATTAGTTTTGGTATGGTCATTCCTTCAAGGCTTGAAGGACTTGACCCTCTACTAACGCTGACAGACCGATCACATTAAAATTATTACATCTGTTGTCTCCAGTATTATATTCGCTGTACCACTGAATCTTGCTCAGCCTCTGAGGAGCTTGACAAGTTCCACCTTGTTGTAATTTTCATTTAAATTGACAATTAGCTTTATATATTTAAATACTGTTTTTGTACTTAAGTGCAATATTTTTTCAGATGCATCACTACGAATTTCCCTCAATAAGCTGAACACGTCGCCCACCTCGATGAGGAATGAACCACTACAGCAAAAGTCAATTTTCCAAACTACCCCAACTGCATCACAGTTGAAGGATGCACCGAAGAGAAAATCTGTACCTCTTAAACCCCAAATAAGGTATTGTATTTATGATGTACTGGTACACAATTGTTTTACTTGAACTGGGTTTATAAATAATAAAATTGTCACATTAAGAGAGCTCAAAACAATGGAATAAGGTTGAATAAATTCAGATTTAGAAAGAAGATAGGAAAGCATTAGTTTAACAAGTTATGTTGGAAAAGTTGCTAAATATGTACAATTGTGTCATCAAAATGAGCACTTTGGGTAGCTTTAAAAATGTATTAGACAAATACATGAGTCGGTAGACTTGCTGTTGTGCATCTGTTTTCACATGTTCATGTGTAAATTTTCAGCGAATCTACAGTTGTTAGTAAAAGAGGAAGACGGAGTGTTTGCGTTGCTGCTGCACAAGACACTGATACCAATATAGATGAAGATGGTGAAATTACTTTTAAAACAAAGTCCACTGCAGCTGTCATACCTCAAGTAAAATATTTACCGGTATGATAGTTATACTCTCGTTTTTTCAAGTCAAGTTGCTTTTCTTAAAACCAAAGTATATTGTACAGTAATTTTTTTTTTTTTTTTTTTTTTTACAAATCTTTGTTGTAATTTTTGAAAACAGTCATTTCCCACCATATACACGCATGCATACATGCACTATGCACATGTACATGCTTGCATACATACAAATGCATGTATACATACATACACACAGATACATGCATGATCACTCATTCTCTAGCTATCTTTTCAAAAGTGAATAAGCATCACAACTCCAATGATGTGCTAAACTATAACATCCCCAACACATCCTTCAGAGTGTAGTCACTGCATTTCCCACTTACAGAGTTCAAGTCAGGCTAATCATTTTTCCTAAATCCCTTCATAGTTATCACCATGCTCACTGTCCAACAGCATGTCAAATCCTAAAACCCACTTGTCTCCACACAGAAATCTAGCACTTGCACATGCAAGCTCCTGCTATTTAATAATTCCTCTACAGTCTACACCCTTGTTGCAACCCTTATTTTTATATCAGACAAAAATATGAGGAATAATTATTTTATAGTGTTTGCTAAAGCAGTCCTCATTCTACTTTATGTTCCTTAGTAAAGGCAGTTAGCATCTGCAATGCTTATAGTATATGAGTTGTTAATGGGTCCAGGTATTATTACTCCTGCATCCCAGCCTTGGACTAGGTCTTTTCCATTGGAAAGAAAGCATTACAAGAACCACAGTACGTACTAAGAAATACTACATGGAAAGGTATAGCTAAATGTATTTTGAATGTGAGTAGAAGTTCTTAAAATTTTCCTGCCATCTTAAATGTGCATGTGATAGAAGAGACCTGCAATCCTGTTAAGAGTGCAAAACTTCTATATAAAAAGTTTCCATTTCACACTCATAGGGCAGGATGATGGCACATGTACCTCTCTTAGTTGTTCATTCAGAAGCCTTCATTTTTGGAATTCATTATAAAATATATGGTAAAGATTCCACATGGCCTCAACTGTAGGTAAGGAAAGGTCAGTATACTAAATACAGTATACCAATTTGTTTTATATTAATAATGATTATGGAAGTTATGTCATCCTTAAGTTGACTGCTATTAATTTTACTGTGTCATGCAGGAAATGTCACCCAAGAAATTAAAGGCTGCAGCTGTAGTAGAACCCCAGCCAGAAGATAATGCAGAAGATATTACGTTTAGTTTTGAGAGGTGAGTAACACCATTATTGCTAATGAATCTAACTGTGTATCAATTCTTATGAGCAAAAACTTCAAACCTCACAACTTCCTTCATTATTAGCAAAAATGTAATTTGCAAAATTATCCTAATCTTTGCACACTTGGCTATTCAATATCAGCTTTGATTTTAGCATGGTATCTTTTGCCTATTTCTTCATGTGCTTGTTTAATCTCAATTTTTTATTTTATTTTTTATAGTAGGGCTTGCTGAGGTAGTATTGTGTATGTCTGTCACTGAAGTCCTGATGGTTTTCAATGTGAATCTTTCAATTAGAACAGCTGTTTTTTTAACATGGGCTGTTTTCAAAAAAAGTCAGTGACCCAAAGAAGGAAATACAGTGGTCCCTCAATAATCGTAAGGCTCGATAGTCGTAATTTTCGAAAATCGTAACGTTATTTTCATCAAAACATTGACTCGTGAATTGTCGTTTGACTCGCAAGTAGTCGTTTGTCTGGGATGTGTACACACAGCCCTGAGCCGCCTCACACTCCATTCCCAGCCAGTATGTCATTGTTTATCGGTGAGTGAGGATGATCCCACGAGTTCATATGATACATTTCATAATTTTTTGATTTATTTATTTATTAGCACTCTGGCCGATTCCCACCAAGGCAGGGTGGCCCGAAAAAGAAAAACTTTCACTATCATTCACTTCATTACTGTCTTGCCAGAAGGGTGCTTTACACTACAGTTTTTAAACTGCAACATTAACACCCCTCCTTCAGAGTGCAGGCACTGTACTTCTCATCTCCAGGACTCAAGTCCAGCCTGCCAGTTTCCCTGAATCTCTTCATAAATGTTACTTTGCTCACACTCCAACAGCACGTCAAGTATTAAAAACCATTTGTCTCCATTCACTCCTATCAAACACGCTCACGCATGCCCGCTGGAAGTCCAAGCCCCTCGCACACAAAACCTCCTTTACCCCCTCCCTCCAACCTTTCCTAGGCCGACCCCTACCCCGCCTTCCTTCCATTTCAGACTGATACACTCTTGAAGTCATTCTGTTTTGCTCCATTCTCTCTACATGTTCAAACCACCTCAACAACCCTTCCTCAGCCCTCTGGACAACAGTTTTGGCAATCCCGCACCTCCTCCTAACTTCCAAACTACGAATTCTCTGCATTATATTCACTCCACACATTGCCCTCAGACATGACGTCTCCACTGCCTCCAGCCTTCTCCTCACTGCAACATTCATCACCCATGCTTCACACCCATATAAGAGCATTGGTAAAACTATACTCTCATACATTCCCCTCTTTGCCTCCAGAAACAAAGTTCTTTGTCTCCACAGACTCCTAAGTGCACCACTCACCCTTTTCCCCTCATCAGTTCTATGATTCACCTCATCTTTCATAGACCCATCCGCTGACACGTCCACTCCCAAGTATCTGAATACATTCACCTCCTCCATACTCTCTTTCTCCAATCTGATATCCAATCTTTCATCACCTAATCTTTTTGTTATCCTCATAACCTTACTCTTTCCTGTATTCACTTTTAATTTTCTTCTTTTACATACCCTACCAAATTCATCCACCAACCTCTGCAACTTCTCTTCAGAATCTCCCAAGAGCACAGTGTCATCAGCAAAGAGCAACTGTGACAACTCCCACTTTATGTGTGATTCTTTATCTTTTAACTCCACGCCTCTTGCCAAGACCCTCACATTTACTTCTCTTACAACCTCATCTATAAATATATTAAACAACCACGGTGATATCACACATCCTTGTCTAAGGCCTACTTTTACTGGGAAATAATCTCCCTCTTTCCTACATACTCTAACTTGAGCCTCACTATCCTCGTAAAAACTCTTCACTGCTTTCAGTAACCTACCTCCTATACCATACACCTGCAACATCTGCCACATTGCCCCCCTATCCACCGTCATACGCCTTTTCCAAATCCATAAATGCCACAAAAACCTCTTTAGCCTTATCTAAATACTGTTCACTTATATGTTTCACTGTAAACACCTGGTCCACACACCCCCTACCTTTCCTAAAGCCTCCTTGTTCATCTGCTATCCTATTCTCCATCTTACTCTTAATTCTTTCAATATTAACTCTACCATACGCTTTACCAGGTATACTCAACAGACTTATCCCCCTATAATTTTTGCACTCTCTTTTGTCCCCTTTGCCTTTATACAAAGGAACTATGCATGCTCTCTGCCAATCCCTAGGTACCTTACCCTCTTCCATACATTTATTAAATAATAGCACCAACCACTCCAAAACTATATCCCCACCTGCTTTTAACATTTCTATCTTTATCCCATCAATCCCAGCTGCCTTACCCCCTTTCATTTTACCTACTGCCTCAAGAACTTCCCCCACACTCACAACTGACTCTTCCTCACTCCTTCTTCTTCTTTCAACACACCGGCTGTATCCCACCGAGGCGGGGTGGCCCAAAAGGAAAAACGAAAGTTTCTCCTTTTGCATTTAGTAATATATACAGGAGAAGAGGTTACTAGCCCCTTGCTCCCGGCATTTTAGTCGCCTCTTACAACACGCATGGCTTACGGAGGAAGAATTCTGTTCCACTTCCCCATGGAGGTAAGAGGAAATAAACAAGAACTAGAAAGAAAATAGAAGAAAACCCAAAGGGGTGTGTATATATATGCTTGTACATGTATGTGTAGTGTGACCTAAGTGTAAGTAGAAGTAGCAAGACATACCTGAAATCTTGCATGTATATGAGACAGAAAAAAAAAGACACCAGCAATCCTACCATCGTGTAAAACAGTTACAGGCTTCAGTTTTACATTCACTTGGCAGGACGGTAGTACCTCCCTGGGCGGTTGCTGTCTACCAACCTACTACCTAGGTTCCTCACTCCTACAAGATGTTATTCCTCTTTGCCCTATACATGAAATCACAGCTTCCCTATCTTCATCAACATTTAACAGTTCCTCAAAATATTCCCTCCGTCTTCCCAATACCTCTAACTCTCCATTTAATAACTCTCCTCTCCTATTTTTAACTGACAAATCCATTTGTTCTCTAGGCTTCCTCAACTTGTTAATCTCACTCCAAAACTTTTTCTTATTTTCAACAAAATTTGTTGATAACATCTCACCCACTCTCATTTGCTCTCTTTTTACATAGCTTTACCACTCTCTTAACCTCTCTCTTTTTCTCCATATACTCTTCCCTCCTTGCATCACTTCTACTTTGTAAAAGCTTCTCATATGCTAACTTTTTCTCCCTTACTACTCTCTTTACATCATCATTCCACTAATCGCTCCTCTTCCCTCCCGCACCCACTTTCCTGTGCTCACAAACTTTTGCTGAGCACTCTAACACTATATTTTTAAACCTACCCCATGCCTCTTCGACCCCATTGCCTATGCTCTCATTAGCCCATCTATCCTCCAATAGCTGTTTATATCTTACCCTAACTGCCTCCTGATGCTTCTATTCTCCTTGTATCCCATCTACCTTTTACTCTCAGTGTAGCTACAACTAAAAAGTGATCTGATATATCTGTGGCCCCTCTATAAATATGTACATCCTGAAGTCTACTCAACAGTCTTTTATCTACTAAGACATAATCCAACAAACTACTGTCATTTCGCCCTACATCATATCTTGTATACTTATTTATCCTCTTTTTCTTAAAATATGTATTACCTATAACTAAACCCCTTTCCATTATCATTTACACCTGGCACCCCAAACATACCTACCACACCCTCTCTAAAAGTTTCTCCTACTTTAGCATTCAGGTTCCCTACCACAATTACTCTCACTTGGTTCAAAGGTTCCTATACATTCACTTAACATCTCCCAAAATCTCTCTCTCCTCTACATTACTCTCTTCTCCAGGTGCATACACGCTTATTATGACCCACTTTTCGCATCCATCCTTTACTTTAATCCACATAATCCTTGAATTTAAACATTCATATTCTCTCTTCTCCTTCCATAACTGATCCTTCAACATTATTGCTACCCCTTCCTTAGCTCTAACTCTCTCAGATACTCCAGATTTAATCTCATTTATTTCCCCCCCCACCGAAACTCTCCTACCCCCTTCAGCTTTGTTTTGCTTAGGGCCAGGACATCCAACTTCTTTTCATTCATAACATCAGCAATCATCTGTTTCTTGTCAACCGCACTACATCCACGCACATTCAAGCATCCCAGTTTTATAAAGTTTTTCTTCTCTTTTTTTAGTAAATGTTTACAGGAGAAGGGGTTACTAGCCCATTGCTCCCGGCATTTTAGTCGCCTCATACAACACGCATGGCTTATGGAGGAAAGATTCTTTTCCACTTCCCCATGGACAATAGAAGAAATAAAGAAGAACAAGAGCTATTTAGAAAAAGGAGAAAAACCTAGATGTATGTATATATATATATGCATGTGCGTGTCTGTGAAGTGTGACCAAAGTGTAAGTAGGAGTGGCAAGATATCCCTGTTATCTAGCGTGTTTATGAGACAGAAAAAGACACTAGCAATCCTACCATGTTGTAAAACAGTTACAGGTTTGTTTCACAGTCATCTGGCAGAACGGTAGTACTTCCCTGGGTGGTTGCTGTCTACCAACCTACTAAAATATTCCATTTATTTTAGTGCTTGCAACTGCTAAATAAGTCACCATGGCTCCAAAGAAACCTTCTAGTGCCAGCTCTTTGGTAAAGAATGTGAGAAACACATAATTTAAGAAAAAGTTTGTAGAAAAATATGAAGGTGGTGGTGGTAGAGTGGAAGCAGTTGTGATAGTGGTTGATGGTGGTATAGGGTGGTAGTGATGGTGGTAGCAGTTGTAATAGTGGTAGAAGGTGGTAGTGATGGTGGTAGCAGTTGTAATAGTGGTAGAAGGTGGTAGCAGTTGCAATAGTGGTAGAAGGTGGTAGTGATGGTGGTAGATGGTGGTAGTGGTTGTGATGGTGGTAGAGGGTGCCTTCTTCAGTGATACTACTAACTCCTCCAATGTTGTTGGAGTTATTAGGGCATACAGAAAACACCGCCGCCTCAGCTGCTGCTTCACCACCATTATGGACAGCTTATGCTCACAGTGGCCCTTATACACCCAACAACAACACAATATAACACCTTATGACATACATAATGACTTACTTTATTCATTCTAGAGTATATTCCATGTTTCTATGTTATTAGTATTGTTTATTATGTAATACTAGTTTAATTGTGATAGATAAATAAGCCGCAGAGTTGATATTAGTGTCATATTCTCCAACAATAAACTCGCCATCCCTCCCTCACACAACCAAGTCTTCAATAAAGGTAAGTATTTATTTTATTTTATTATCACACCGGCCGATTCCCACCAAGGCAGGGTGGCCCGAAAAAGAAAAACTTTCACCATCATTCACTCCATCACTGTCTTGCCAGAAGGGTGCTTTACACTACAGTTTTTAAACTGCAACATTAACACCCCTCCTTCAGAGTGCAGGCACTGTACTTCCCATCTCCAGGACTCAAGTCCGGCCTGCCGGTTTCCCTGAATCCCTTCATAAATGTTACTTTGCTCCACTCCAACAGCACGTCAAGTATTAAAAACCATTTGTCTCCATTCACTCCTATCAAACACGCTCACGCATGCCTGCTGGAAGTCCAAGCCCCTCGCACACAAAACCTCCTTTACCCCCTCCCTCCAACCCTTCCTAGGCCGACCCTACCCGCCTTTCCTTCCACTACAGACTGATACACTCTTGAAAGTCATTCTGTTTGCTCCATCTCTCTACATGTCCGAATCCACCTCAACAACCCTTCCTCACCCTCTGGACAACATTTTGGTAATCCCGCACCTCCTCCTAACTTCCAAACTACGAATTCTCTGCATTATATTCACACCACACATTGCCCTCAGACATGACATCTCCACGCCTCCACCCTTCTCCTCGCTGCAACATTCATCACCCACGTTTTCACACCATATAAAGCGTTGGTAAAACTATACTCTCATACATTCCCCTCTTTCCCTCCAAGGACAAAGTTCTTTGTCTCCACAGACTCCTAAGTGCACCACTCACTCTTTTTCCCTCATCAATTCTATGATTCACCTCATCTTTCATAGACCCATCCGCTGACACTCCACCCCAAATATCTGAATACGTTCACCTCCTCCATACTCTCTCCCTCCCAATCTGATATTCAATCTTTCATCACCTAATCTTTTTGTTATCCTCATAACCTTACTCTTTCCTGTATTCACCTTTAATTTTCTTCTTTTGCACCCCCTACCAAATTCATCCACCAATCTCTGAAAACTTCTCTTCAGAATCTCCCAAGAGCACAGTGTCATCAGCAAAGAGCAGTCTGTGACAACTCCCACTTTGTGTGTGATTCTTTAACTTTTAACTCCACGCCTCTTGCCAAGACCCTGCATTTACTTCTCTTACAACCCCATCTATAAATATATTTAAACAACCACGGTGACATCACACATCCTTGTCTAAAGGGCCCACTTTTACTGGGAAAAAATTCCCCTCTTTCCTACATACTCTAACTTGAGCCTCACTATCCTCGTAAAAAACTCTTCACTGCTTTCAGTAACCTACCTCTACACCATACACTTGCAACATCTGCCACATTGCCCCCTATCCACCCTGTCATAGCCTTTTCCAAATCCATAAATGCCACAAAGACCTCTTTAGCCTTATCTAAATCTGTTCACTTATATGTTTCACTGTAAACACCTGGTCCACACACCCCCTACCTTTCCTAAAGCCTCCTTGTTCATCTGCTATCCTATTCTCCGTTACTCTTAATTTTTTTCAATTATAACTTACCATACACTTTACCAGGTACACTCAACAGACTTATCCCCCTATAATTTTTGCACTCTCTTTTATCCCCTTTGCCTTTATACAAAGGAACTATGCATGCTCTCTGCCAATCCCTAGGTACCTTACCCTCTTCCATACATTTATTAAATAATTGCACCAACCACTCAAAACTATATCCCCACCTGCTTTTAACATTTCTATCTTTATCCCATCATCCCGGCTGCCTTACCCCCTTTCATTTTACCTACTGCCTCACGAACTTCCCCCACACTCACAACTGACTCTTCCTCACTCCTACAAGATGTTATTCCTCCTTGCCCTATACACGAAATCACAGCTTCCCTATCTTCATCAACATTTAACAATTCCTCAAAATATTCCTTCCATCTTCCCAATACCTCTAACTCTCCATTTAATAAACTCTCCTCTCCTATTTTTAACTGACAAATCCATTTGTTCTCTAGGCTTTCTTAACTTGTTAATCTCACTCCAAACTTTTTCTTATTTTCAACAAAAATTTGTTGATAACATCTCACCCACTCTCTCATTTGCTCTCTTTTTACATTGCTTCACCACTCTCTTAACTTCTCTCTTTTTCTCCATATACTCTTCCCTCCTTGCATCACTTCTACTTTGTAAAAACTTCTCATATGCTAACTTTTTCTCCCTTACTACTCTCTTTACATCATCATTCCACCAATCGCTCCTCTTCCCTCCTGCACCCACTTTCCTGTAACCACAAACTTCTGCTGAACACTCTAACACTACATTTTTAAACCTACCCCATACCTCTTCGACCCATTGCCTATGCTCTCATTAGCCCATCTATCCTCCAATAGCTGTTTATATCTTACCCTAACTGCCTCCTCTTTTAGTTTATAAACCTTTACCTCTCTCTCCCTGATGCTTCTATTCTCCTTGTATCCCATCTACCTTTTACTCTCAGTGTAGCTACAACTAGAAAGTGATCTGATATATCTGTGGCCCCTCTATAAACATGTACATCCTGAAGTCTACTCAACAGTCTTTTATCTACCAATACATAATCCAACAACTACTGTCATTTCGCCCTACATCATATCGTGTATACTTATTTTCCTCTTTTTCTTAAAATATGTATTACCTATAACTAAACCCTTTCTATACAAAGTTCAATCAAAGGGCTCCCATTATCATTTACACCTGGCACCCCAAACTTACCTACCACACCCTCTCTAAAAGTTTCTCCTACTTTAGCATTCAAGTCCCCTACCACAATTACTCTCTCACTTGGTTCAAAGGCTCCTATACATTCATCTTAACATCTCCCAAAATCTCTCTCTCTCCTCTGCATTCCTCTCTTCTCCAGGTTGCATACACGCTTATTATGACCCACTTCTCGCATCCAACCTTTACTTTAATCCACATAATTCTTGAATTTACACATTCATATTCTCTTTTCTCCTTCCATAACTGATCATTTAACATTACTGCTACCCCTTCCTTTGCTCTAACTCTCTCAGATACTCCAGATTTAATCCCATTTATTTCCCCCCACTGAAACTCTCCTACCCCCTTCAGCTTTGTTTCGCTTAGGGCCAGGACATCCAACTTCTTTTCATTCATAACATCAGCAATCATCTGATGATGTTAAATAAGAACATAAGAACTTTAGAAAGGAGGAACACTGCAACAGGCCTGGTGGCCCATACTAGGCAGGTCCTTCACAAATCCAACCCACTAACAGAACAAATGCTACCCAAGCAATAATCTCAGGTGCAGGTCCGACTCAAATCCAACCCCTCTCACTCATGTATTTATCCAACCTAAATTTGAACTACCCAGTGTTTTAGCTTCGATCACCCTACTAGGCAGACCGTTCCACTCATCAACTACCCCTATTACCAATGTTCATTTACATTTTATTAGTGCTTTACATTTATTTGGTATTCTTTTCTGCAAGTAAATCTATATTTAAGCTAGGGAAGTGACCTAGAGTCCTTATGGAGGTATATTTCCCTTCCAAACAATAACCTCTCTTCCCACTCTCCTCCTCCCTGTCTTCCACTCGTCAACAACAGCCTTCAATAAAGGTAACTGTCATGTTGAATGTTCATTCTTTTGTGCATGTAAATCTATCTTTAAGGTAAAAAAAAAAATTGTTGTTGATACTTCTGGGTGTCTGGAACGAATTAATTGGATTTACATTATTTCTTATGGGGAAAATGGATTCGAAAATCGTCAATTTCGATAATAGTCACACTTCCAGGAATGGATTAATTATGAAAAACGAGGGACCACTGTACCTTCACTATTACTCAATCTCTAGTTATCTTTTCAGAGTGCATGATACTGGGGGGATTTGGATGTGCTTCTAGTATGTTATAAGCTTGACTCCTTGTAAGACTATTACTCCTATGATTCTTACTGTATTTTTCATAGCTTTATATAGATTTTTCAAACAGTCATTATTTTGACTTACAAGTGATTGGGAACTGCCTGTTCCAAGTTTGGAACTATAGAACTTTACCTCTCATTTCCTCACTAGCCTTGGGAAAGGGTTAGAGCTCTCTGGTTTGTTACTTGAGGATGATAGTGAGTTACCCTATTGGTTAGAAGCAATTTTGTTTGTCCAGATTGGGCTCTGTAACCTTTCCAGTTGTAGATCCCTAACTGGGCCTTAGAATGCTAAAGGGTTAACCCTTTAGCATGTATGCATGAATGCATGCAGCCTTAATGACTGTCTTGTAGTCAGTAGGTTTTAAAACTGTTAAATTAAGCACCATTAAACAGATCAATTACATGACTTAAAGAATATGATGTCAAGGTTTAAATATGAATATTTTGTATAAATTAGGTTCATTTAAATGAGAAATAGATTTTTATTTTCACTTGCCCCTTAATTCCTTATCACTTCCACTTTTTTACCATCTCTTTTATCTTTGCTGTGTAGCACTATAAAACGTGTGAATTTAGCATGTTCTATGAATATTTCTGTAATAATCTCACCCTTTGATGTCTTTTTTGACAGGTCACAGTCCAAAACATCTTCACGCAAGAGTAGTGCTCGCAAGAGTTTGATGCCCGAGTGGCCAGACCTTGAGAAGGATGATGTTCTGTGTTTCTTTGATAATCTTAACCCCAAACAAACAGAGCAGACATGTATTGCTCTCACTTGCAAGTGAGTAGAACTTTGTCTTAACTTTAAAAACTTTACATTAATAGCAGGATCAGCAATAGGATAAAGTCAGGCATTGTTTAAAACTGTCTCAAGAAAAGGGGAATATAATCAGGTGTAAAATAAGCGAATATTAGAGAAGCATTGCATGAGGCAATGCTTCTCTAATATGCTGAGTAGTGCTGGTAGTAATTGATAGTTCTTGGTGGTATATTGTACCTGGTTCAATATTTGTATGACTAAAGACTTGGTCACTTGGAGGCTGCCTTGGTTCTGGGTGACTGGTATCATGAGAGTTGTTGCATATCATTTCTTGTATTTTTCCCCATCTTTCAGTACAAGTCTTGAGTGAGAAAGTCTCATCCTACAATACTTAGAAAATTGCAATGCTCATCATTCTTCATCATAAATTGCAAAATAAAAAAAAATGCCATAAAAATCTCAAATACCCAAAACAGACAAGAAAGTAGACCAGTTTATAATTTTCTCTACATGTAATGCTGCCTCTAATATTGAGATTTTTGAACGAAGCCAACAGCAGAGTAGCTGTTGCAGCCTCTTCTACAGTCTGTGATCTCACAAGGAGATACAATAACCATAACACAAAAGAGACTGATGGGTGAGAAATTGCATGTGGTGGATATAAGAAGATTTATGTGGGAGAAACTGCCAGAAACCAAAGTACAGTAAATGCATCAACAAACATAAGTATGCAGCCCAAACTGATAATAATGACAATGCTTATATCCAACAAAAGAATTCACACATTCATCGGATGAGATTTTTCTCGCTCAAGACTCGTAATAGAAGGAAAAAAATGCAAGAGAAAATGCTATGAAACTGCTCTCATCATGACATTAAAAACTATCACCCAGAACCAAGACAACTTCCAGTTGGCCAAACCTTTAGCTGTACAGATAGTGAATCAGGTTAACTGCTGTGAACTACCAACTGTTGTACTTCCATTACTATGGACTATTATCAGCAATTTTCAACATGGCAGCATATCTCTAAATCTACCTCTTGTGAGCCAGTAGGCCTACTGCATGCTTTTCAAATAATTACTTATTTTACACCTATGTTCCCTACCAAGAACATAAGAAGGAAGGAGCACTGCAGCAAATTGTTGTGCCACCAGGTGTTGTGTATCAGACTTGATAAAGCCTGCTGTGCAAGAGTTTATAAAATAAAAAAAAAATTATGTATGTGTACTGTCTTTTAACCATGTGTACTTTTTATCTTGTGGATTTGACCTGATAATGAGAATAGTTCTTATAAAACATCATAAACATGGTTTGTCTTTGTTGAACTTATTGTTTATTATATTAGGTTAGGTTAGGTTAGGTCAGGTCAAGCTTGTCAGGAAACAGGACGAGTTCTCCAGGACTCGGGTCTTAGTCATATAATGACCCACAGCTGGAGCTTTTGGTCATCCGACCAAGGCCTTTGCTGGCTTACCACTCCACCCCTTTAAAAACTATGGAATTATATTCACATTCTTTATTAAATGCTTACATTTTCTTTGTAATCAGTCGCTGAAATACTTTTAATCATCTTTTTGCCTGCATTATCAATATTTTACAAGAGGGTTCAAGTAATGATGCAATGAAAGGCAGTGTTGAAAAATAAAATGAATTTGAGTTTAGTAGAACTCATACATTGATTAAAGAACTGTGACACAGTAACTGCTGTACATCCTAAAGGTTTCTCTTTCCAGGTTTGCTTCAATGAAGTATGACCGGGAGCTACCATCCAAGTTGCTGTATCAGTGGGTGCAAAAGAAAGGACGTACCATTCAGAAGACTGTCAACTCCTATGATTTGCCAGAGAAGGAACAAAAGGAAACCATGGTGCAGTTCTTCAAATCACTAAATCCTGACCTGTCAGAGGCCACTCGTGTAGCATTTACATGTAAGTTTATGCAAACCCAGTTTGGTGTCGCTGTACAATCTAAACAGTTCTACAGTGTACTCGGAGATACTGGTAAGAAGTCATCTAAACGTCGTTAGTTTGGGCTAATGTACGCCATGGAAAAGATGTGTGTAAAGTGTGTATATATATATATATTTTTTATGGATTAAAGCAGTTCAAGTATTTATAACAAGCTTCTCTAAAAAAAATTTAAGTTTTTAGGTAAATTTTTATTTAAATGAAAAACCTGCTTACTGTTATTTTTTCCAGACACATATTCATTTAATGCAAATTTCTTTGGAAATAAGATTCTTTTGTAGAAAATACTATTGGTATGTGTGTGTGTTATTTAAACAAAATGTACTTATTGACATCTGTTTGTGGGGAGCTGAGTCTCAGCTCTTGGCCCTGTCTCCTAAACTACTTTAATTTTTCCTACTGAAGAAGAATAAAAAGACAATACTGTGACTGGAACAATACACAAATAACCTGCACATATGAGAATGAAACTTATGATGACATTCAGTTCAAGTTGGACTAGTCATACAGAAGTGTGACTAGTTAATGGTTCAAGTTGGTCTGAAATGTCATATATTTCATTCTCCTATTTTTTATATATACGTATATTTTCCTTATTGATATCCAACCTCTTGGGCCTTATGCCTACTTAAAGCTGTTTGCTGAATTTAGTGCTCCCACTTCCTCATCCAGCTCCTATTTTTCAGTTTCTTTTGAGTGTAATATAAATACTTTCCAACATACCTATGCCTCATTTGTTTCTTCTTTCATATTTGTTCCAAAGTCCCTGCTCTTATTTCAAAATTGAAACTTACCTTTATTAATTCCTGTTAGAATTTTGTATGCCTTACTCATCTCTCTAAATTTTGCCCACTCCCAAGAGTTGTTTGTACCTTTCACTGTAACTCCTTCATAGGTTCATTAATGTTTTCTTTTTTTTATGCATTGACACCATTCTCCTTGCATTCCATCTTCTTACTCTATTCATTAAATAATGATTTGACATTTTAGATACTCCTTTAAAAGCTGTACAACCAAAAGTCTGCTTTTTAACTTTTTATCTACTGTTATATAGTCAAACTGTTCACATGATACACTTCATCATACCTTGTATTGCCTTTTACCAAACCTCTTTCTAAACAATTTCGTACTATGCCCTCTACAAGTTTCTCCCACTTTTATTAAGGTCCCCTAAGACAATTAGTCTTGTCTTAAATTCATTCAACATCCATTTAACATCTGACTCTACTGCCCTTCTTTAACCTCCAGGTGCATAGACACTTACTGTAACCCACCTTTCACTTCCCACTGTTTGCTAAACCACATAATTTTGAATTAAAAATTTATGATTCAACTTTCCACAATTGTTCAATAAGTATTACTACCATGACTTTAAGATCTTGTTCACTCAGATACACTTAATTTAGTCCTATTTATTCCTCCCCTTTCAAACTCTTCTCCTTTTATCTTTTTTGTGCTCAGGACTAGAACATCTATCTTCCTCTCATCTGTTTCACATCCACCCACATTTCAGCAACTCCCTTTCAAAATTTCTTTAGTCTTATTAGGTTTATAGAAAAAAAAAAGTACCAGCCTCTTGTTCCTAGCATTTTAAGTACATTTTACAATGCATATGGCTTATGGGAAAGCATTCAAACCCCCATGGGACTGGAAAGGAATTGCTACAGTAACATGAGCTAGAGGTGGGGTCATTACCTGTAAATTTAATTAGGTGACATACTGTACCTGTGGCTGGTTTTGAGAGCTCTACTCTCAGTCCAGATTAAGGACAAACGTATACGTATACATATACACTACTTGTAATATTTCATTTTTATGCTAATTTTGTTTAATTATGTACTGGAATTTTTTATCACCTTGATAATACAAATAATTAGAGCATTTATTTTTATGAGATATTTAGGTAAATTAAATTTTTTTAGTGTACACTGTTAATCCCTCCATAGCCAGTATTTGTAAGCCAGTTTTGGATTAAAATTTAGTATATCTTTATTGAAATGAGATGCAGATTGACAACGGTTCATAATTATTTTTAGAGTGAGTATACAGTGAAGCCTCCATTTAGCAAAGCCAGAGCTGTTATGGAATATTTTTCAAAATGGTTCTGGTCAATTTCCCACATTTGTAGCTGTTTTCTCTTATATACCCTTATGAAAATAAAATTGAATGCAATTACAGTACATGTATAGTGATGTTTAATGAAATTATGTGGTGTCTAGGAAAATAACTTGCATGAACACGGAGGCCTCACTGTAATTCGAACAAGTTATTGTTTATTTAATAGAAAATTGTAAGGCTGTATGTTTTGCTAATTTCTAATACTCATTTAAGCATTCTTAGAAAACTGATGTTTTTAATAAGTTGAATCTATTGCACTGAATGAGATTTCAGAAAGTTTACCAAGATATTGTGATTATGTTGAAAAATAACATGGTCTTTTTGTATTTGCAAATACAGTGGACCCCCGCTTAACGATCACCTCCAAATGCGGCCAATTATGTAAGTGTATTTATGTAAGTGTGTTTGTACGTGTATGTTTGGGGGTCTGAAATGGACTAATCTACTTCACAATATTCCTTATGGGAAAAAATTCGGTCAGTACTGGCACCTGAACATACTACTGGAATGAAAAAAGTTCGTTAACCGGGGGTCCACTGTATTAACTGTTTTTTAATTGCTTTTATAGGAGACTCTTTTTAAATGATAATTTTATAATTGCATTTATAGGATACTTGAAATTAGTGTTAATTAAATGTGACAAGTTTTTGTCGTCTTCATATCCATCCTTTGGAAGGTAGTTAAAAGTTTACAGAGGAGCATTATGTTTCCCAACTTTCTTTTGACTAAGTAAGTTGCAGTGGTGATGAGTTGTGTGCTTAAAACTGGGGATTGTGGCTAAGATTCTTGCATCATTTTCTCAAACCTTTAACCGAGTAGCTTAACACTAAATTATAATGGATTGCAATATAATTCATTTATGTGAAAATAATTTAACTTGTTTTGGGTGCTGTTTCTGTTATTGAACCCAGTTTGTTATTCAGTCTTGTAATGATGTTAACTTATATCCAGTGTTTCTTCAGCAATACTTGAGATTGATTTAAATAATAAAGTTGTGGTAATTGAGCTTGCTTCCATCATTTTCATGGTCATGGAGACAGGGAGGTTACATGATGCTGGTGAGAGGCTCTTGATCTGAATTAAGCTTGAATGCCTTCCATCCCCCACCCCAACAGGGACTGTATAATTCCTACGAGTTTAGTGCTCCCCATAATAATAATGAGGGTAAGAATTTTTTTTTCCAGCACTGTAATAACCATATATGTACAGCGGTACCTCGGGATACGAAATTAATTGGCTCCAGAAGGCTGTTTGAGTGCTGTTACCGAATGCATTTGTTCCCATAAGGAATATTGTAAATTAATTAATCCACTTCAGGGCTCCAAAAATACACTTGCATAATTGTTCGAGTTGGGAGTTGTTCGTATCCCGAGGTACCATTGAATATTGGTTGCCTTTAATGCTATTATCTGGGAGAAACACATAGAAGGAATAATAATAATAGCCCCAACCATTTACATTTTATGAAAATTCAATATAAAAAATTATAACAATTCTCAGCAAAGAATATGGCACATACAGTAATAACCTTATCCTAAAAATTGAAAGAATTTTTACATCCAGGTATATTTACAGTGTGTCATTATATTCAGTGTCACTGGTTTGACTAGATTACAAAGCAAGTGTCTCAGGCAATTAATTTTTTTATGTGTAGGATGCTCCTTTGTTCTCTTCATATACAATAAGTGCTATAAAAAGAAATTCTGTGTAAGTATAAGTTCACAGTATGTATTTCTTTATTAAAATAATTGGGAGGGTTAAAAATGATTTGAGAATGTTAATTTTTCAGCATTTAAAATGTAGAAATATAACTCCACCAAATAAACATCCTTCTTTTCAAATATATATATTTTATTAATTATCATAACACTTTTTTCTTCATAATTAGGGTAGTTCAAGAACATCACTTTTCAATATCCTGTAACAGTCTCCCTTTATATGAGGCATCCCATTTTAAATAAGGATATATCTCAGTCCTAGCAGTCATTCTTTGCACATGGAAATTCAAGCAGATTATTCTTGGCACATAGCGAAAATGTTCTTCACATTCCTGATAAAATTTGTAATAAATCACACTCGTCTCTTTTCATAGGTAATGAATATAATTTTCATCTGCTAAGAACATCACAATTTTTGTTGGATTTATTTAAAAAATTGTTTTATTAAAGTATATAATGTGACCAGTTTCGAGGGTTCTACCCTGGAAGCTAGGCTTCCAATCTTTAAAAACTACAGAATATCACAAAGAGTAGTGTCTTAAACACTCGGGATGAGGGTGGCCCCTTCAGAAGGATTTCTAGCACCAACATAAGACTTGAAAGACTGGGCAGGTCAATTTTTGCTAGAAATTAAATATAGTATCAGAGTCAAGATCAGCACGTAGATGGCCATTTCCATAAGAGCCGTGACTGGAGCGCTTGATAGTGGCAGTGTCAAAGTCCTTCAGTGGTAAGTTTGTTATGGCTGCTTTTAGCCCACTTTTAAGACTGCCATTCTTTATTGTGCTGCTTGGTGACTGCTCTCCTTTCCACTCTGCTCCTGGTACACTAACATAATGATTAGGTTTAGCAGAGATGTAGTGAGGTGAGGATGGTACTCGCCTATGGTGTCTGCGAACACACACATGGTAAGTAGCTAGGGCACCAAGCAGTGCTCCAGTGAAGAGACAAGCCAGACAGGAGCCTACCAATGCCTGCACTGATACTGTGCTGCCCCCACCACCATTCTTACTACTACTCACAACAGCTGCTTCCATTGTTGCAACATTAGCTGAAATAGAAAAGTACATTATAAAAATAATTGTAATGCTTACCCCTAACACAATCTAAGTGAAATTTTATTAAAATTTAACTTTGTACAATATATGATAAAAGTATTATTACTGTATTATAATCAGGGGAAGTGCTGAATCCATAAGGGTCATATAGTGCATGGGGAATGAGAGGCAATCAGGTTTGATTAAAGGAAGTGGAGGACAATTATTGTAGTACAGTGCATAAGTAGTATAATATTTTGTTTGGCATGACAACTCAAGTTATTGTAAGATAAGATTGTTTGAATTTTTAACCTAGAGGGTTTGCCACCCAAGATAGCCCAATAAAATCAGTGTTGAGGACTTGTTTCCATTGAGAGCTTTTAATCTTCTCCCAGAATGTGACCCACAGCAGTAGGCTAACACTCAGGTACCTACTTATTGGTAGGTAAAGAGGGGCAGCAGGTGTAAGGAAATATGTGCAATGTTTCACCCGTGCTGGAGATTGACCTCGGTTCCTCAGTGTGAGAGCTGAGGAGGCTACCAACCAAGCCATGAGCACCTGCTACATGTTTCACTTGCTTTATGCAAATTTAATATTATGAGATGTGCTATTTCTAGGAGTAATTAAGTTATGAGATATACAATCAGAGTGTTTAAAATATAATGCACACTAATCCTAATTGAGCTTAGTACAGCTGCCATGGACCTGCAATGTTGCTGCAGTGCATAACAAGGGACACCTACTTTATAATGTCTAAGGGTTTTATGACCCCTACTGATTTAGTGTTTTCTAAGTCACATAGTACCTGGAAGAAAGGCAAAAAGGTTGAATCCAAGGAAAACTAGGTCCAGTTCTTGGATCAAAAACTTACTGGCATCATGGTATCTATACTATTATACACTGCGTAATATTTGTGCACTTTTCTATGATACAATCAAATACATATGTATAATTTTTTATTTTTCTAGTTCAATTTTTAACAGTATTGATTAGAATATGAAGCATCATCACTGTCCATTACCCAGGATTGTATGGCCCCTCTATAGGTTTACCACTTTCCCATTAATTGAATAAAATGGTAATACTCGAGCATCATCTGAAAAATAAAGCACTGGGCATTTTTCTGAATATTGGTATATTGGGTCCCTTCAATGGAGGTTCCTGGATGCTGGTGAGGGGCTCTTGATCTAGGGAACTGGATCTGTGCTCTGGTTCCCTGAACTGATCCTCAATACCTTCCATCATCCCCTCCCCACCTGTGCTGTATAATCCTACGGGTTGAGCGCTCCCCCATAATTATAATAATAATAATGGTATCTTGGCACAGACTTTGGTTAAAAATTACCTCTAATTCTAGTACAGTGGACCCTCGGTTAACGATATTTTTTCACTCCAGAAGTATGTTCAGGTGCCAGTACTGACCGAATTTGTTCCCATAAGGAATATTGTGAAGTAGATTAGTCCATTTCAGACCCCCAAACATACACGTACAAACGCACTTACATAAATACACTTACATAATTGGTCACATTCGGAGGTGATCGTTATGCGGGGGTCCACTGTACATGTATTGCACTGTTACTGTGTCATAAAAATTAATACCATTCTTTTTCCTCTCCCCTCAAGGGAGATTCCTTGATTCAAGCAATGGAACTTATTCTCCCCATCCTTGGACTGAACCTGATTACCTCTTAACCCTTAAACTGTCCAAATGTAGATCTACGTCCAATTGCGGGGGGCTCCGAATGTAGATCTACATTTTTTTTACATGCTTTCAAATGGGGAAAATCAAGGTCAGTGCTACGCACGTGAATGTAGATCTACATTTGGACAGTTTAAGGGTTAAATGCCCAGGTGCTGTATAACTCTATAGGTTTGGTGCTCACCCCTTAGTATAATAATAAAATACTGTACTCACAATTCATAAATTTGCAAGATTCTCTCTGAACATCAAGCCCACGACACTGACTGGGCTGATTTGAAATGCAGTGACGTTTCCTTACTCGTTCATCTCCACCTCCACACTCTGACCACTCTGCCCACATGCCCCAACCCTCTTCACCTGCAACAATTTAAAAAGTACTACAGTACCTCTGGTAAGTACATATATGTGATAGATTAAATAATAAAGAGAAGATACCACAGATTTACTTATGCTCCTGTAGCTACAAACAGGTAGTTGCATGTTCAAAATTAAATCATTCATGTTAAATGCTAAACCCACATGGGTCATTCAGAGCAAAATATTACATGTTCCAGAGCTGAAAATTATGCTGCAGTAGGATACTGATGAGTTAATTATACTGTACCGTACATCTAGTTTTGCAAATACACGTGTTTGAACATTTGATCAAACTACTGATTCCAGCTCTAGTAAGCAACTGGTCACTATCATGGTCTGCCACAGGGACAATGAAAAATACTAGAAAACAGAACACTGTTTACCTATACATGTAGCCTTGTGGCACGACTGCTGCACTGTGTGAGAACCAGTGCAATCTGATGCATCACTAAATGGATTATGCGAAGCAATGCACTGACGTGTCCGATACTGCATTCCTGACCCACAAGTAGCTGAACACGGACTCCAGTCACTCCAACATGCCCAAAGACCTACAGATATGAGAATCTATCATTAATATAGATACAAAAGTTATTTTTATCGAATTCCATGATTTTTGTACACAATAATCCAAACATAAGTGTAATAAACACTGGTAAATAGTATGAGCAAACTTAAGAGGTGAAAATAAAATATAAGTACATATTGTATATTTTGGCTTACCACTGAGACTGAAATGTGCAGTCTGCAAACCCCTTCAGGAGAGAGGGGGACTTCTGATCCAAGAAACTGGATGTCTTCTAGCTCCTTGGATCAAACCTGACTGTCATTCTCCCCAAGTGTTGTATGACCCCCTACACATTGAGCACTTCTCTTAAATACTGTATAATAATGCAATCTGCTGAATTATTTTCATCTGTGAAGCACTGAACTTGTAGGGGTCATACATTATTAATAAATAACAAATAACAAAAAAAGGCACAATACCGTGACTGTCACGATACACAAATAAACCGCACATAAAAGAGAGAAGCTTACGACGACGTTTCGGTCCGACTTGGACCATTTACAAAGTCACACTAACCAGAAGTGGAGCAGGATGGCTATATATAGGCAGGAAGAGGTGGTGGTAGTAGTAGTACAAGAACGGTATATAATACCGACAAGATGAAATTAAGACACATGCCCGGGCATCCCTATCGTAGACGTTTCGCCATCCAGCCAGCCACTGGATGGCGAAACGTCCACAACAAAGACAAACAGACGCTGCACATGTGTCTTAATTTCATCAGTAGTAGTAGTAGTAGTAGCAGAAGAGGTAGTAGTAGTGGTAGTGGTAGAAGTGGGGAATAAGGAGGACGAGCCAGTCAAATAAAGGAAGGGGAGCACTGCAAGAGAGCTAGGTGCCCACAGAGGGAGAGCAAGCGCACAGAGGTGCGTGAAAGGGGAAGTGATGATATAAATGAAGAAGGAACAGAAACACGAGACAGAAGAGAGAAAGACAACCCAGAGGAGAAAAAGGAAAGAGGGAGAAGAAGAAAAAGAAAAAGAAAAAATGAGGAGTCAGGTTAAGTCACGGGTGTTCTGAAGTTTGGAGCATTTTACAATGTAGTGGGAGAGGAAGGCATCTAGAGAGACGAAGCCAGGGCTAAGATTCATACGAGGAAAGTTGTGTATTAGAGAGGATTCAACTAGACGGCGACTGTTCGAGTTGGAAGTAGGGAAGACAGTTTTAGCAGAAGACCAGTCAATAGGATGGCTATGATCTCTGACGTGACAGAAAAGAGCATTGTTAGTGTCGGCAAGCCTAACACTATTTTTGTGCTCCCTAAGTCTGTCAGAAAGAGAACGACCAGTTTCTCCGAAGTATTGAAGAGGACAGGGGGAGCAAGAAATCGAGTAGACACCAGGAACATCTGTAGAGGGAGGAGAGGTATGAACGAGATTAGTGCGAAGAGTGCTAGTCTGGCGGAAGGTAAGCTTGATGTCTAAGGGACGGAGAGAATTGTTGAGATTAGAAAGACCGGAAATGTAGGGAAGGCAGAGGATAGAAGAGTTCCCAGGAGTAGAGAGTTTGGGAGAGAAGAAATTGCGTTTAGCACGTGAGAGGGCAGAGTCTATGAAATGGGAAGAGTAGCCAAGACGGGAAAACGAATTATGAAGAGTGGAAATTTCTGAAGGAAGGAACTGAGGATCACAGATGCGGAGGGCATGGAGAAAGAGGGAGATAAGAACACTTTTCTTGACAGGGGAAGCATGATAGGAAAAGTAGTGAATGTACATGCCACTGTGCATAGGTTTTCGGTAAACGGAAAAGGAAAAACCTGTATCTGAGCGGTGGACATGGACATCAAGGAAAGGAAGCAAGGAATTAGATTCCCATTCAGCTTTAAACTTAATGGAAGGGGCAAGATTATTAAGAGCTTCAAGAAAAGGTTGGAAGAGACTGGAGTCATGAGGCCACAGAGCAAAGATGTCATCCACATAGCGGAGCCAGAGTGAAGGTTGCACATCGAGGGTAGGAAGAAGAACAGTCTCGAAGTATTCCATGTAAAGATTAGCAAGGACAGGAGAGAGAGGAGAGCCCATAGCGACACCGAAGGTTTGAGAAAAATATTTCCCTTGGAAGGAAGAGGAGTTAGAGTCCACACAGAGGTGGATAAGATCAAGAAAGACATCAGTAGGTATAGGGAGATGTAGAAACCCTTCATGGGCCTTCTCTCTAAGGAAATCAAGGACATCATCAAGAGGGATACTAAACCCATTGGGGTCATACAATGCCTGGGGAAGTGGAAGGCATTTCAGACTATTTGAGGAACTGGAGAACAGGTTCAAGGGAGTAATACAGTGCCTGGGAAAGGAAGGTAATCAGGCTGGATCTAAGGAATAGGAGGGTAACTCCAAATTCCTTCACAAGAATTAAGGAACACGCTAATGAAGGCCTCAGTGGTAGGGTGAAACATGCAGTACTCATTACAGCTTTCATTTTTTCCATGTGGGACTGTATGTCATTTACAGTGTTCTCATTTTAAATATCTCAAGATATACTTCCAGCAAGCGTGCGTGAGCATGTTAGATAGGAGTGAATGGAGACGAATGGTACTTGGGACCTGACGATCTGTTGGAGTGTGAGCAGGGTAATATTTAGTGAAGGGATTCAGGGAAACCGGTTATTTTCATATAGTCGGACTTGAGTCCTGGAAATTGGAAGTACAGTGCCTGCACTTTGAAGGAGGGGTTTGGGATATTGGCAGTTTGGAGGGATATGTTGTGTATCTTTATATGTGTATGCTTCTAGACTGTTGTATTCTGAGCACCTCTGCAAAAACAGTGATAATGTGCGAGTGTGGTGAAAGTGTTGAATGATGATGAAAGTATTTTCTTTTTGGGGATTTTCTTTCTTTTTTGGGTCACTCTGCCTCGGTGGGAGACGGCCGACTTGTTGAAAAAAAAAAAAAAATTAAATATCTCAAGATGTATATTTATGCTTTTTATTTGCTTCTAACCACTTAACTCACCCCACACTGAATTTATTATATAATGTATACAAAGTGTAGGTGTAAAAGGAACATACCTCAGTATTTTAGTAGTAAAATTAGTAACATTACATAAGAATCTTAGTTAAAAGATATTATATAGGAACCAGCATTTTAGCTGTAGGGTTGTACAGGGTATAGTGATACTGACAAGATGAGGCAGATGACACATACAGTAATGAAGTTTATTTAGGTCCTTTAATAATGTCAAAACTGCATATGTGTCTACTTCTATATTTTAATTATAAAATATGGAATATAAATCAGTATTTTATATGAAAAGTATCATTGTCTCACCTCTACAGGCATGTTCATTGCAGGTTCTCTCAAGTGTGGCTAACCCAGCACAGGAACCAACAGTGCAGGATCGATGCCGATACTGTTTTCCTCCACCGCATGGTTCATCACATTTGGTCCAGTCACTCCACTCTGACCATCCTCCACTACCTGGAGAATCCATCTGGTGGGAATCACCACACCAGCCATCTTTGGTGCAAACTTGATCCTCTTGGTGCATTTTACCAATTCGTAATGGATTGTCCTTGTCTCCTGTTGCAATACATTCTGTCCTGAAGCGACGCTGAACAGCAGAGTTTCCAGAAATATTGAGTTTTAACCATGGAGTCCAAGGGGACAGTTTAGTTACCTCTGGGCATGGCCAATTCCCACATATTTCAGTATCTTTCTCACAACCTGGACACGGTGATCCTCCATTCTTTGGGGTTGGTCTGGTACATGAACGCTGTCTCTGTCTCATGCCAGTGCCGCATGTGGCTGAGCATCTTCCCCAAGAGCCCCACTCACTCCACCCACCATCCACAGGTAAGGCAGTATATGCTGTTAAGTAAAGGAAGTACTGTTATATTACAGTGAATACAAAGCATTTCATCAATACTCAAAATCGTAATAGCACAATCTGAATTATTTCATTAGAGTTTGTAAGTCACCAGATTTATTTTTATTTGGGTTGGGTGTTAAAAAAAAAAAAAAAAAAAAAAAAAAAAAAAAAAAAAAAAAAAAATAATAATAATGGGCAAGAAAAACTAAATAATTGAACATGTAAAATAAGAAGCATGCATATACTGGGGATTTGATTATATAATAAAATTCAGTCATACAAATATCTAGCACAGTATTATAATTTTCAGTGGAGATTTAACTCTTCATTCTTAAGACTTTACTGTACTATTATGACATGATCAGTGAAAAAGTCATGCATGATATTGTCACTCCTTTAACTTACAAGGACAGTGCGCAAGGGAGTGGCAATAGATCTCGGTACGTTCTTGACCAACACAGACACGCCCGCCATGCTGAGGTTCAGGGTTTGAACATGTGCGACGCCGAGTTTTAACTGCGATACCGCAAGTTGCTGAACACTGAGACCATGAAGACCATGCTGTCCAACCACCATGTACTGTGCAGTTGGATACCTAAGCAAGATCAAGTAAAGGATTATGTAGGTTATGTTTACACTACTTTTTTATTTATATTTTTTTGGTAGAAATACATTGCCAAATTAAAGAAAAAAGTGATAAAATGTTAATAAGTATACATATATAGTTCCTTAAATTAATGTAAAGATGTATTTTCATGCTGTAATGAACTGAAAAATATTCTGTATTAAGTAGTCAATATTCATAATGCATTCAGCAGCATCTTATAGCATCATTTTATCAAAATTAACATAGCTTTAAACATTATCAGTAATATAAACAAAACTAGCCAAATATCAGAATTTAATTACCTCTGTGCGTGATCCGACACAGTTGGCCCCACCGTGTGCCGGCCGTGGGGAGTCACAGACACGATGGCGACACAGGCATGAGTCTCCGGTACCGGACTGCAAGCATGGCGACCATTCTGACCACTTGCTCCATTTTCCATCCACTAAAAAAATGTAAGAGTTATTATCTTCCTTCTCTTTCATTCATGACATTATAACAGTCGAGGACGGATTGAAATGTCAAGTTTCACCCTCAATTTAGGGGTTAGTTATTAACATACTGTACCTGGATCAGTGGATCGTGGGCATTCCATAACTTCTTGAAGCCAAGATGATACAAAGGGATTTTTTCCAGGTGGGGGAGAGCAATCCAAGCGGTTGGTGTCCCATCCACAGTATGGATCTTTGGCAGCTAAACAAGCCCGCTGTGTTTTATAATGTCCACATCTGTGTACAGGGACACGGACTACCTCACTGTCTGTGCCCAAGTACAGCGAGTTCTGTAAAGATAAATTTTAAAAGTTGATATGGTTCCAACATTGCTGAATGAGATTTCCTCAATAATATTCCCTTTTTTAGTATAAACATAAAGTGACATGAATGTACAGCACAGTACAATGTAACCCTGAGAAAATAAATAAGGACCAGCAAGATGCCATATTTGCTATTTTTCTGCAAAATTCAACAAATGGGTTGTTGTGATAGCTGAAAATATTTTTGATGTAGTGTAATGAAATGTCTGACATATGATAAAACTGAAGTGTTTAAGAAGTAATTAACAATTACTTTATAAAATGATAATGATAATGATGATAATAATAATAATATTATTAATATTAATATTAATATTGGCAGTTTGGAGGGATATGTTGTGTATCTTTATATGTGTATGCTTCTAGACTGTTGTATTCTGAGCACCTCTGCAAAAACAGTGATAATGTGCGAGTGTGGTGAAAGTGTTGAATGATGATGAAAGTATTTTCTTTTTGGGGATTTTCTTTCTTTTTTGGGTCACCCTGCCTCGGTGGGAGACGGCCGACTTGTTGAAAAAAAAAAAAAAAAATATTAAAATCTGTAATTATGAAGAAAGCATAAAGAAAAAACTGTGGAAGGTTTGCTGTGGGGATAAAGTAAAACTTAAAAATAGTGCACTCAAATTTAAAAGTTTGTACAGTGTTATATATTTTATTACAAATTTTCTTTTATTGTCAGAAAACATGAAATTTCAAATTTTGAATATTAGATGCTCTGCATTACTGTATTTGTACTTTAAAAATAAATATTACTTTGATTTTATTACAGATAAAGAATAGCAACACCAGCACCCAAGTGACGAGATGATATGCAGAGAGTACTGACCGTATCCTTGAGGAACCTCATGGTGTGGATGACGACTGAGGAGTTTGTGGAGAAAGGTTGGAGAACCTCAAGGAGACAAGTATGTTGAGTATTGGGCACCACACTTAGTTTTCTCACAAGACCTCCAGAACATGCCACAAACACTACATGTACATTTCCACTTAGTCGAGTTGATACCACATCCACTACTACATGCTTCAATCTGAAAATATAATGTAATTATGTAACCTAATAAAGTATAACATGGATATTTTATATATAGCATGCTCTGATAATTTTTTATATCAAATGATGTAACGATCAGATTACTGTAGAAGCACAGTAGCTTTCATTTTATAAATGTCATCACTTTCTACAACATTCTTTATGCTTTTGTTCAGTGATAGTTTACCATACTGTAGTGCATTTAGTCAGACAATCATTTTTGTGTGGTTGCATTGCCATCAACATTTCCCTTTACTGTACTTATAATAATGATAATAATAATTATTTGTTTTTTGTTATTCTTTAGCTTTGTGAAAGCAGTAATCATCATGATTAAATCTTGTTTAAGTTTTTATAAATGCTAAATTTTGGTGAAGGGCTCTTGATCCAAGGAATCAGAGCTCTCCTTCCCTTCCTTGGATCAAACCAGATTACCTATTCCCCAGGCAATGTATGACCCCTTCCTGTGAATACATTACTATAAATAATCAGGATGTTAACTTTGATCCAGATGCCTTTTTAACCCTTTGAGGGTCGACAGGCCCTCTCCGAAACTCGTTCTCAGGGTCGGCCAAATTTAAAAAAAAAAAAAATTATTTTCTCTTATGAAAAGATAGAGAATCTTTTCCCAATCATAAAGACACCAAAAGTTTGAAATTTGATAGAAAACTTACGGAATTATGCTCTCGCAAAGTTAGCGGTCTCGGCGATGTTTACGCATTGGCGATTTTGCCCACTTTGAGCCCCATTTTCGGCCAATTTCACTGTACTAGTCGACAAAAAACATGAATATTTCGCTAGAACTCCATTTTTTCTATCGAATGGGTGCAAGAAACCACCCATTTATGAAATTCAACTATCCAGTACAGTGGTCAGAATTTAGCAATTTTGCCAATTTCACACAAATTTCAAAAGATGCCAATTTCCGAATAGGGTCCAGAATAAACAAGAAAGACATTCCTGGCACTAAAATGACATTTCCTCTAGTCATTAGTCACGTCTCAAGGCCCCTCTTATATTCTTTTGCTTTCCACTTTGAATTTTTATTCTCACAAAAAATATAAGATTTACTGTTATGCAGACTACTGCATTAGTGTAAAAAATGGTATAAATATTATTGGTGCACTTGTGAAAGAATATTAGACTCACCAGTTGACGTGTATTGCACGCTTGGCACAATTTGTTTACTTTTGAAGTTTGGTAAAAATCGAACATTTCTGCTACTTTGAGCTCAATTTCAAGGCACCTTTCATTGTAAAACCAGTCAAAATCATCTCAATTTCTGTAATATGTCTTCCATTCTATAAAATGAGACCAAGAAAACTAGAATACAACAATAAATACCATACGAAAATACACTGCAAAGTCGCTGATTTATTCCAAAAAAATGGTCAAAGTTTTTTTTTTCTCATTGTGCACTGTGTGCTGCAGGATTTTTTTTAGACTGTGCACACTGACCACATAGACCCATTCTTTCATATGAAGGCCTACCAGCTTTCTCCCACTAGATTTGAGGCCGCTAGAATTTATGCGTACTAGTACTTCAAAAACCCCTACGCGTAAGACGTACTAGTACGACCAAAACCCTCAAAGGGTTAAATGCTATTAAATGCTTCCTTTGCCTATCCATCTCTCTGACAGTTCCCCCTTCAATGCCAACTAAGCTTTTTATTTAAACTAATTATTTTTACATGAACTGTGGCCCTCCCCTAATTTCTACTGATGTCTCTTTCAATACCTTGACCTCTTCCCTTCTACCATCTCTTATTTGATGTGCAGCACGGATGCTTCCTGGTTTCATGCTTTCCATGAAAGTACAGTGGAACCAGCTTTGTTCGAGTAGAACAAAGCTCAGCAATCAATCAAACAAACACGACCTGCCAGAACTTCACTGTAAACTATTTCGTGTTTCCTTGCATTTTTTGGTGTTTTTTTGTATTACAGTGGTACCTCAGGATATGAACAGCTCAAAACTTGAACAATTATGTAAGTGTATTTATGTAAGTGCTTTTGTAAGTGCATTTTTGGGGGTCTGAAATGCATTAATTTAATTTACATTATTCCTTACGGGAACAAATTCATTCGGTATCGGCACTCCTTATGGGAATAAATTTGTTCGGTATTGGCATTCGAACAGCCTTCTGGAACGAATTAATTTCGTATCCCAGGGTACCACTGTATTTGTATAAATAAGTCACCATGGGGCCTATGACGATTAGCGAAAACAGCCAACCAAACAGAAATTTGGTTGGGAAGAACTTGTTCAGTACTGAAACGGAGCGGCGCTTGAACAGCCTTCTGGAATGAATTAAGGTCGTATACCGAGGTTCCACTGTAGTAATAATGTACCCTGGTCCCAGCAGCCCTCTGCCACATAGCACTGAATGACCCATACTGGTTTAACTCTTAACATGAAAATTGTAATAATGTAATAAAATATAAATATTATGATAAAAAATGTTTTACTTTTCAGAGTTAAGAAGGTAAAGTGGACTGGAGCTCTGTGGGAGGACTGGTCGATCCATTAACTGAAATTTATCAGCAGCAAGGTCAGCATCTCTACTGGTTCCCAAATCTTCACAACGAAAGTGGCGGTTTTCAGATGTTACAGGACCCCATGTAGATGATGGCGATGGCTGGTACTTGAATGGTCCATCAAAGGAAGCATTTACTGAACTCATGTTGAAAACACACACTGCTGATCCTACAATACTGTTACTGGGATAAAATAACATATTTTAGTAAACTAGTACAGTACAGAATGTGAAAGAAAATGTACTACAAGTATTTCAAAATTTGGCCAATTAAATACTATTGCATTAGGCTCTTACTCAGCTGTGGAGAAAACTCCATAGAGCATTTGTTCTCTCGGAAGGTAAGTGACACTCTGGACATGGTTGTAATAAAAGGGCAAGTCTCCTGGGACTGAGCATATTAGACGTGCTTTCAAGAATGTTGTCCAATAATTTTTCAGGACAAGAGTCCCGCCAGCATCATTCTTGCAGACACGACCAATCCTTGAGAAGACATTCTGAAATGACAGAGAACAGAGATTGAAATGCCTTTTAGTATATCACTGAGGTCAAGTACTGCATGTATTTAACTGAAATATCTCCTATAGCAGAAAATATTTTGCAATACTGTACATGTTTTTATTTCCTTGCAAAGTGTTAATGAACAGACGGTATGTATATATAGTATAGTACGTATTTATTGCCACAATATGAGCATGGTCATTAACTGTCATTCAAGTATAAATTTTTATTAGTATTTTCAAAAACACAGGGATCCTTAATAAAAGTAAATGCAAATGTTCACACCTTCCCACAGTTTAAATTTTCCACAGCATTTTCTTTGAAGATGGAATAGACAAATCCAGAGGACTCAAAGGATGTGATAAAAGTGGGCTCAGATAGCCACTTGAGGTCATACTGATGAGTTCTGAGGCGTTCGCCTGGACCAAGGGATCGCATGAAGGCAGAATCTCGTCCTAGTATAAGAAACTCATCACATTAGATATATTATAATATTACAAACATTATATCAAAATAAAATTGTTAAATCTATTGGATGCTTATTCTGTTGAGCTGAAGAGATTAACAAAAAATGTTGTATAGATCTCTCAGTGGCATAGGAAGAAATTTAGTGGCCTGCTCTATCCTAAAAATAAAAAATGCAATAGGCATTAATACATTTTTTAAATCAACTTAAAATACATAGTGATTCTACATGAGTAAGCTACATCATGTTTATATTTTTATCCCAGAATGCTCAATAATTCATGTTAGTTAAGCATGTTTTGTGAATATATTAATTACCTGAGAAGTCTGTTGGAGTACCAACATAGAGGTCACCATTTGTCGTAAGAAGTGAGGTCACACTGTGGGAAGGGTCAAATGGGCATCTGGCTACACCTTTCTCCCACGACTCAATGTGCCGTATCTCGGAGAGTCTGGAATTACAAGTTTACTTGCATACTTAATTTTTTTAAATTTAAGGAATAATTTCGGCAAAGCAAAACTGACAAAAAAAGGCACAATACAGTGACTAGAACAATACACAAATAACCCGCACATAGAAGAGAGGAGCTTACGATGACGTTTCGGTCCGACTTGGACCATTTACAAAGTCACACTAACCAGAAGTGGAACAGGATGGATATGGATATGGAGATATATATTATTTTATTTATTATTTATTACTTTATTACCACACCGGCCGATTCCCACCAAGGCAGGGTGGCCCGAAAAAGAAAAACTTTCACCATCATTCACTCCATCACTGTCTTGCCAGAAGGGTGCTTTACACTACAGTTTTTAAACTGCAACATTAACACCCCTCCTTCAGAGTGCAGGCACTGTACTTCCCATCTCCAGGACTCAAGTCCGGCCTGCCGGTTTCCCTGAATCCCTTCATAAATGTTACTTTGCTCACACTCCAACAGCACGTCAAGTATTAAAAACCATTTGTCTCCATTCACTCCTATCAAACACGCTCACGCATGCCTGCTGGAAGTCCAAGCCCCTCGCACACAAAACCTCCTTTACCCCCTCCCTCCAACCCTTCCTAGGCCGACCCCTACCCCGCCTTCCTTCCACTACAGACTGATACACTCTTGAAGTCATTCTGTTTCGCTCCATTCTCTCTACATGTCCGAACCACCTCAACAACCCTTCCTCAGCCCTCTGGACAACAGTTTTGGTAATCCCGCACCTCCTCCTAACTTCCAAACTACGAATTCTCTGCATTATATTCACACCACACATTGCCCTCAGACATGACATCTCCACTGCCTCCAGCCTTCTCCTCGCTGCAACATTCATCACCCACGCTTCACACCCATATAAGAGCGTTGGTAAAACTATACTCTCATACATTCCCCTCTTTGCCTCCAAGGACAAAGTTCTTTGTCTCCACAGACTCCTAAGTGCACCACTCACTCTTTTTCCCTCATCAATTCTATGATTCACCTCATCTTTCATAGACCCATCCGCTGACACGTCCACTCCCAAATATCTGAATACGTTCACCTCCTCCATACTCTCTCCCTCCAATCTGATATTCAATCTTTCATCACCTAATCTTTTTGTTATCCTCATAACCTTACTCTTTCCTGTATTCACCTTTAATTTTCTTCTTTTGCACACCCTACCAAATTCATCCACCAATCTCTGCAACTTCTCTTCAGAATCTCCCAAGAGCACAGTGTCATCAGCAAAGAGCAGCTGTGACAACTCCCACTTTGTGTGTGATTCTTTATCTTTTAACTCCACGCCTCTTGCCAAGACCCTCGCATTTACTTCTCTTACAACCCCATCTATAAATATATTAAACAACCACGGTGACATCACACATCCTTGTCTAAGGCCTACTTTTACTGGGAAAAAATTTCCCTCTTTCCTACATACTCTAACTTGAGCCTCACTATCCTCGTAAAAACTCTTCACTGCTTTCAGTAACCTACCTCCTACACCATACACTTGCAACATCTGCCACATTGCCCCCCTATCCACCCTGTCATACGCCTTTTCCAAATCCATAAATGCCACAAAGACCTCTTTAGCCTTATCTAAATACTGTTCACTTATATGTTTCACTGTAAACACCTGGTCCACACACCCCCTACCTTTCCTAAAGCCTCCTTGTTCATCTGCTATCCTATTCTCCGTCTTACTCTTAATTCTTTCAATTATAACTCTACCATACACTTTACCAGGTACACTCAACAGACTTATCCCCCTATAATTTTTGCACTCTCTTTTATCCCCTTTGCCTTTATACAAAGGAACTATGCATGCTCTCTGCCAATCCCTAGGTACCTTACCCTCTTCCATACATTTATTAAATAATTGCACCAACCACTCCAAAACTATATCCCCACCTGCTTTTAACATTTCTATCTTTATCCCATCAATCCCGGCTGCCTTACCCCCTTTCATTTTACCTACTGCCTCACGAACTTCCCCCACACTCACAACTGGCTCTTCCTCACTCCTACAAGATGTTATTCCTCCTTGCCCTATACACGAAATCACAGCTTCCCTATCTTCATCAACATTTATATATATATTTATATTATATATATATATATATATATATATATATATATATATATATATATATATATATATATATATATATATATATATATATATATATACACAGCTGTGCTGCTCCACTTCTGGTTAGTGTGACTTTGTAAATGGTCCAAGTCGGACCGAAACGTCGTCGTAAACTCCTCTCTTCTATGTGCGGGTTATTTGTGTAAAGTAAAACTGAAATGCTCGACATTCTAAACCTCAAATTTCTAAGAGAGCACCTCTAAGGAGGGATGGGGGTGCCTTGATGCTGGTGAAGGGCTTTGAATCCAAGGAACTGAAGTTACCCTCCCCTCCTTGGATGAAATTCAATTACCTCCCATTCCCCAGGAGCTGTATGACCCCTATTGGTTTAGTGTTTCTTAATGATTATAATAATTTGCTGCAGTTCTTTCAACACTTCCACCACCAGGCCTGGTCACAGACCGGGCCGCGGGGGCGTTGACCCCCGGAACTCTCTCCAGGTAAATTCCAGGTATCCCCTAGAGAGTGTTACCAGTTTCAACTCTGTCATATTGCTGAATGACTCTTGTGGGTTTAGTACTTTCTATGAGTACAGTATACTGAAATAATAATTTAAGCCCATCTACTATGCATAAAGAAAAATAATTAAATGTTGTACCAGTTCACAATGTTTTTATTATCAAAACAAAACCAGTTTATGTCTGAGAAATATTTGATTTGTATTTTCACAAAGGCTGGAAACACTATGGAGTCTACAGTATCAAAAACAGTATCTTTTGGCAAAATATAAAATGCCTACAAAAGCTCACCTTGATGTCTGTGAAGGGCTCTTGATCCAAGGAACTGGAGTTATTCTCCTTTTCCTTGGATCATACACGATTACCTCTCATTACCCAGGTGCTGTATGAGTCTTACAAGTTTGGCACTTCCCTGAGAAAATAATAGTAATACAAAAGATAACAAAAAACTGACTTACCTCCTCCAGGTACACAGAGGACTAAAGGCATTTGTTCCACACACAAGTACATTGCCTCGGTGCAGGTGCAACACTCTAACAAAATTATGACATGCCTCTTGGCTCTGTCCCTTCAGTGTGCAGGTGTCCACAGTACTTTTGTTGGAGGCCCAGTCTGAAGCTTCTAGCAGCTGCAGACCCACCAAACTCAGACGGAAAATACGATCCCTGTGAACAGCATTGCAATTTTTGAGAATTACAAGAATTTTTGGCTATGAGAACAGTACATATGCATAGCAATTTGTGGATGGAGAATCAAGGCTCCACCCTTCCTTATGCTGAACAATCCACATAAGTTTTAGGAGTAGATACAATAGAGTTCATGAGATCAGAAATTTATGGAGGTGCCTTGATATTGGTAAAGGTTTCTTGATCTAAGTCACACCCTGAGGTGTGGCTAGGGGCAAAGACTTGACCCCATTATTCCCCCTGTCTTCTTCTGCAAAGAAATTGGCAAGAAGAGTACTAGTTTAGTGCTTAACATAAATATAACGAAAGAAATTTATGAGAGATCTAGGCATATGTAACAGGGCATGGGAAGCTAAATGCAACTGCAGTTTATTACTTTTGTAGTTTCAATACTGTTATCTACTATTGTACTTCTAAATGATAGTAATAATATAAGAAATGTAAAATTTATATATCTTTTTGATTTACTTTTATGTTTCAGAAGATACTTGGTGCAGATCAAAACTTTATAATAGATATTTTGCTATAGGTTGATTATTATTATTATTACATTCATGGAAGAGTCCAAAACCCATAGAGGTTATGCAGTGCTTGGGGGAATGGGAGGCATTTGGGTTTGATCTAAGGAATGGGAGGGCAGGTCCAATTTTTCTGGTATTAAGAAACCAACCTCCATGAGGAGCACTCTGGATAGAGCTTGATCAAGTCAATCAAACGTCTATGTTAAAGGTTTACTCTGCACCAAATGTCTCTACCATAATTGTTAGCAATACCTGCCCTTTACATATATTTATGTTATTTACAATAAAGAGCTTAGATTAGCAACCCCTTTAAGAAGGTGCTTTGATGTCAGTAAGGGGCTCTTGATCAAAGGAAATGTATCTGTTCTACCAGAGGCATTGTCTAGGGAGCTAAAGACCCCCAATAGCACTGCTTTAAGTCAGGTCTTGTAGTCCTTCTTATAACCAGATTGCCATCTTTAAGCCCCTCCTATACAAAATTTCTGGAGTGCCTGTGTAACCACCTTCCTTGGATTGAACTTGATTACCTCTCAGTCTCTGTGCTGTATGACCCGTATGGATTTAGTGTTTTCCCCAGATTACAATAATAACCTCAGGATGATGTCATACAAAGAATTTTAATGTATGTACCTCTCTCTAATTTTAGGTATGGTTACTGTTAATGGTTCCGAGGGTTATTGCCTCGGCTGCCCAGTCTCAGATCAGTCCAACAAATTCAAAAGTATATAATACAGGAATAAGAAATAAGTACGTACTGTATTATTATAAGCAAGTAAGAAAGTTTATGCACTTACCTGGCACCAACAACAACTTGGTAACTGGTGGGATCAAAGAGCAATTCACTGTAACTTTTAACTCCAGTGATGCTGAATCTGTCCGTTGTGTCAGCTAGCTCTGCAATTGTAATGAGACACTGAGGTTACCTTTTACCCATCAAATGCTGCCCAAAGCTGGACAATGAAATAAAAGGGAACAGGAGTTTTCTGTGCAAACAAAAAATAAACTAAAAGTTCCCAATTAGTTCAAGTAGATCCCCTTGCCTAAGTCCCAGAAGAATAGAACACCCACACCCTCACCTGAGTTCAGTAACCAGCTTCCCACCAAAACAGTGAAATATCCACAGAGCAAAAAAATGGAGCTGATGAATAGTGCTGTGATGTGCCCAGCAGACAGAATAAGATTAAGATGAGTCCCAGAGGGAGCTGAGGAAATTTGTCACTGATACTCAGGCAAGAGCCAGATGTCTGCACATCATCAAGGTTGGTGCAGAAGCCCTATCCTCCAAACTGAGGCCTAACTACCCACTGGGTTTATTTTAATATTTTTAAGAGAAGCCTTTAATAGTATTTAAATATTTTGAAATGACCTTTAAAAACAAATTTATTGCTGTATGGTAAATATCAGCTGTTACATTTTAGGTTGAAAATACGTAAAGAAAAAGTAGCTTAACTGATCTTCTTGGAAACAATGTAGCAGTGTATGACCTGTGAGGGATTAGAGATTTTTTGTTAATATAATAATAATTGAAGCCAATGCTTACCATTATAGCTGACATATCTTTCCAGTTGATGACGTGCAACATCTCCTGGTGGGGCATCAAGGTGTGAGAGTGAGGCTGGGCATGTGATGCAGGCCAGCAACACAAACCTGGCCACCCTCCTCCACCCATCCATACTGTGTATATCAGTTATACAGGGTATCAGTTAGTGGTTCTGGGCATCATGGCTCCCAGGGTCCAGCCTTAGACCAGGCTCCTTAAACTGGATACTGTGTAGCAAGGACTCTTAGGGTACCAGTACCAGTGCTAGTGCTACCTCTGCATGATGTTGTCTAGTGTCAGGAGGCTGATAAGAGTCCTGTCCAGTATTTACAAACACTCACAAGGCAACAGAGCAACAGTTCACTAAGGTAAAGCGAGTTTGCTCCTTGGATGGGTGTTTGTCACTTGATTATGATCTTCTAAGCAACTCTGAAATACAAGAAACAAAAATAATCAATATTTCATATGGGATGTGGAATAAAGTTTGATTGCATAAGAATATCCATTTAAGTATCAACTGCCTTAAAGGGAAGTATGTACCTGGATCCAAGGAAATGGAGCTACTCTCTTGAGTAACACTCAAATCTTATGATTAGTTTCCCAATATGCATTGCATAATCAGTAGCTTCCTTTTGTGCCTACCACTGTATTAATTAATTTAAACCATTATTTGTTTGACAAAGGAATAAACATTATTATTATTATTATTTTTATTTTTATTAACACAGCCATCTTCCACCAATTCAGGGTGACCCAAAAAAGAAGAAACACTTTCACCATCATTCACTCCATCACTGTCTTGCCAGAGGTGCACCTACATTACAGTTAAAAAGTTACAACATATCAACACCATTCCTTTGGAGTGCAGGCACTGTACTTATCACCTCCAGGACTCGAGTCCTGGAGGTGGTAAGTACAAGTCATAAAAACCATTCATCTCTACTCACTCTTATCTAACACACTCATGCAAGCTTGCCTGATCAGAGGTAGTCTACCCTCATGCTATGCAAGAACAGAACTCTCGAAATTCGTGGCAGGTGAATCCTTTAAAAAGTTACTGAAATGTGTTAATAAAATACAATATGCAGTTTATGGCATTTTATTGAAAAGATGCTTCACTCACCAGGGACTTTACTGGCTCTCGCGAGAATTGATAAAGTCCCTGGTGGGAGAAACGCCTTTTCAATAAAATACCACAAACCGAATATTATGTTTTATTAACACACTTCAGTCCCTATTTTAAATGACTTACCTGCTACAGGTTGCAAGAGTTCTGTTCTCTTCAGTACATAAAATCACTGATATATGTATGCAAGAACTGAAGTATATTTTTACTGAATAAACACTCTCATGAGCGACCAGAAATGCTGGACACAGAGACAGATGACTAAGATAAAACTGAATGCATCATACACAGTCTACGAGAGGCAGAGACAACAAAAAACCATTAATGAAATTAAAAGAAACCCAAAATACTTTATTTTCTTATGTGTTTTTGAAATCCAGGGCAAATATTGCATCCTGTATTGTTCCCTAGCTTAATGATGGAGATTACAGATAAAAACAAAGAAATAAGTAAAATACCAAAATCACAGTAAGATACTGTGGTCAATGAGCCATTAACCAGACTGAAGATTGAAAGTCTGAACAAATTTTTCCTGAATGAGATCCAAAACTCTTACATCTCCAAAATTATTGACATTACCCCCATTCAACTTGGAAGCCACTGATAATTCAAAAAGAATAAAAATCGCTATCACACGCATTAAATATCCTATAGAGACAGCATGTGGACACAGCAGTCATCCCACATGAATGCAATAATAAATGTTATTCTTGTAGGATGCCAAGGTGCTACAACCTCGCTATATTGTCTAGAGTCACACTAGGTTATACCTATAATACAATCCCTCACTACTACCCTGTACTTAATATACTGAAAAATATTATTTTTAAAGGGTTGGAGGAGTAAGTCAGTGGAAGTCCTCGGTCAGATGACTGCGGGTCATCGTATGACTAAGACCTGAGTTAGGAAACATTTCTTCTGTTTCCTGATGAACCTTACCTAACCATGTATAACCAGAAAGTTTAGAAATAATACCCAGCTAATAGTCACCTCTCTTTGCTTTCTTATATTTTTTCTTTTCTTCTATTTTAGAAGCTTTTCCATAATAGTTGTCAGGCTCATACTTGAGGGAATTTATCTTCAATAGTCAGCCAATCAACCTCTTGTGAAGCCAGCTAAGAAAATACGTCAGTGGCAGCTCGAATATCTTGCTCAATCTTACATTTGCTGAATCTCAATCTATCTGTCTGCCTATCTGTCTGTATGTTTGTCTCTCTGAATTTGTATGTCTTTCTATTCATCCAAGGAAAATAACTTAACCAAGTTATGCCTGGCCCTGGGCCAAGCTGTGGGATTAAGAAAATTCTCAAAACTGGAAAAGATATGAAAATTCTTGGATAGGTAAATTAGTCTATATTAAGTAAAACTGCATTCACTTAATAGATTTGAAACACATGAATCTGCAAACTGGATTTTTTTTATATTTTATTAATTTCTGTTCTTAATGATATTTTATTATATCCATGGGATGGAAGTAAGCACTAAACCTGTTGGGAAACTGAAGGCATTCGGACTCAATTCTAGGAACTGGAGCACAGGTCCAGTTCCTTAGATCAAGAGCCCCTCACCAGCATCAAGGAACCTCAATTGAGGGATCAAGGATTTTATCTACCTTATTAATGACATTTCCCAAAATTTTTACAACATTAAGCTTTGGAAGCAGAGGTGCTGGAAAATCGGTGGTGTACCTATACTCCATTTCTGCTGTTACAATACAATAAGCTCTCTTATAAAGGTCCTCCACATGCTGTAATTTTTTGTAAATGTGATTCAGAAATTAAAGAAAAATTGGATAGATGTACCATGAAGACCTTCCATGTGCTATTCAATTTTGGATGTGCCTTTTCAATTCCATTTACAAAAAAAATGGATCATACTGTATCTTGTCACTCTGAAACTCACATATTTCCTCCTCAACCTCACCGAATTTGTTGTTCTCGTGTTCTCGTTTATTCTTTGTGTTTCTGTTTTGAACATCTGAAAGGTCTTGTTCAATTTGTATACATATTCTTATAGCTTTCCAGTTCCTCTATGTCGGTAGCTCTCTTTAGTAATTATTCTTTATGGTTTATCTGTGTAAATGTTCTTGATAGCAGCTTGTTCTCATGTCTCATATTTTGAAACTTAGCTGTCCCACGCTAGACTTTACTACACAATTTCTTATCTCATTTGTGTCCCTCATCTCGAATGATTTTTTTCTGATACTGTATTAGTGATTGTGGCACAATTATCTTCTATTTTTTCTTTATATTCTTCTGGCATTCTTATCTTCTGCAAGGTTTGTGATATAGTGAGCCAGCTGCACTTGTTCTTCTAGTATCAACGAAGGATCATAAATGTTTAAAGAAAATTGACGTATCAATTGGGTTTTGTGGTCCATTTGGGTGTTCTTTGAGGATACTGACAACTTTAAGTCACACCTAACTTATTTCTGGACTTACTATTGATAAAAATTAAAAAAAAAAATGGCAAAAAGAATTTGCATAACACAATTTGGTTGTGTTCCTTGTGTGCATATTCTTGAGGTGACCACCTGGCTTACTCTGAGACACCACTAATATACATATCACCCTCAAGGAAAGAGCCTTGATGCTGGCCAGGGGCTCTTGATCTAAGGAACTGGACAGTGTGCTCCCCTGCCTTGCATCAAACCTGAAGGTCAAACACTAACCCAGGCACGGTATGGCCCCTACGGGTATAGCGCTCACTTACAAATGTAATAATTTATGAGTATCTCCCTATTCCCTATACAGTGGACCCCCGGTTAACGATTTTAATCCGTGCAAGAGGGCTCATCGTTATGCGAAATAATCGTTATGCGAATTAATTTTCCCCATAAGAAATAATGGAAATAAAATTAATCCGTGCAAGACGCCCAAAAGTATGAAAAAAAATTTTTTTTACCACATGAAATGTTAATTTTAATACACACAAACTGAAAAAGGCATGCACAATTACATGACACTTACTTTTATTGAAGATCTGGTGATGATTGATGGGATGGGAGGAGGGGAGAGCATTATCTTCTTACTGTTTAGAAGGGGAATCCCTTCCATTAGGACTTGAGGTAGCAAGTCCTTTTCTGGGGTTACTTCCCTTCTTCTTTTAATGCCACTAGGACCAGCTTCAGAGTCACTGGACCTCTGTCGCACAACAAATCTGTCCATAGAGCTCTGTACCTCCCGTTTCTTCAAGACTTTCCTAAAATGGGCCATAACATTGTCATTGAAATAGTCACCAGCACGGCTTGCAACAGCTGTGTCAGGGTGATTTTTCATCTATAAAGGTTTGCCAGTTTCTCAAACACTCTGCACACATTTCCTTAATCTTTGAAGTAGGCACAATGGATTCCAACTGGCATAGGCTTCTCAGGGTTAGCCCCAAACCCTTCAAAATCTTTCTTAATTCCATACTAATTCTCACCCTTTTTACCACAGGGTTGGCACTAGAAGCTTTTTGGGGCCCATGGTCACTTATTTTTCCAGAAAACACCACGAAAACACTGTAATAATTACGAAATATTCCGAGTGTATGCTTGGATGTACCGCGGAGGCTGGCTGGTAAACAATGGGACGGCCGGCACATGTGAGGGCACATTGGACGCGTCTCGGACGAAAATCGGTATGCGGGTTTTTAATCGGTATGCGGGGCAAAAATTTTGCGATAAAAGTAATCGTTATGCGGAAAAATCGCTATGCGATGCCATCGTTATGCGGGGGTCCACTGTACTACAAACCAGAAGAGATGTCTCTTCTGCATGCCACGTGCATCTTGTTATCATTTACCAAAGGCACTTGCTGATGGATACCTGGCCCGTGTTTTTTTGTGTGTGTACTCACCTAATTGTGGTTGCAGGGGTCGATTCATAGCTCCTGGATGCTGCAGCAGTTATCTGACTGATGTGCACCTCAGGAGATGTGCTCGGTGTTATGGTCACCCCAAGATCTTTCTCCTTGAGTGAGGTTTGTAGTCCTAGGCTACCTAGTCTATACTCTGTCTGCGGTCTTCTTTGCCCTTCTCCGATCTTCATGACTTTGCATTTGGCAGGGTTGAATTCAAGAAGCCAGTTGCTGGACCACCTGTCCAACCTGTCCAGGTCTCTGAAGTCCTGCCTGGTCCTCATCTGATTTAATTCTCCTCATTAACTTCACATCATCTGCGAACAGGGATACTTCTGAGTCTATCCTTTCCGTCATGTCATTCACATATACCAGAAATAGCACTGGTCCTAGGACCGACCCCTGTGGGACCCCGCTCGTCATAGGTGCCCACTGTGATACCTCATCCCTTACCATGACTCGTT